GTAGGTAAAAAAAAAGCTGTGATACATTTACACAGTGGAATATTACTCAGCCCTAAAAAAGAAGAGAATTTGACTCTGCGACAGTATGGATGGACCTGGAGTTAATTATGCTAAGTGGAAATAAGTCAGTCAGAGAAAGATAAGTACCATATGAGTTCACTTTTATGTGGAATCTAATAAAGAAAATAAACTAACAAAGGCTATAGAAACTGACTCATAGATATACAGGACAGACTGACAATTGTTAGAGGGGAGAGAAGATTGTAGGGCTAGGTTAAAGAGGTAAAGTGATTAAGAAAAAAAAAGCCTCATAAACAGACTACAGTATGGTGATTAACAGAGGGAAAGGAGACTTGACTTGGGGAGGTGAACACACAATATAATATATAGATAATGTATTATAAAATCGTACCCCTGAAATTTGGATTATTTTATTAAACAATGTCATCCCGATAAATTCAATAAAAAATAAAGTTAAGAAAAAAAGAAAGAAAGAAAAGCTTGAACTGGTTTTCCCACACAACAGCCATGGGAACCAGTACAGGTCCTTTTACCACTACTCTCTGGTTACCACAACATAATAAAAAGTCACGCAGGAGTTGGAATTTTTTTGGGAATCGGGGGTGGGGGGGTGGGTAGGGGGAGGTGGGTGGGCCATGAAATCAAGTATTCAGTACTTTGATTGTTAAGGTTAAAGGAGCAGAGTTCACTTGAGAGGAAAATGTTTCCTTCAGGGCAGGTTGTACGGTGTAGTGGTTTGACATATTCCAGAGTTAGATTACTTGGGCTTAATCTTTTACTCTGCCATATACTAGCTGTGTAGCTTTTGAATGCTGCTGAACTCCATTAGGTCTCAATTTTCTTAAAATTAACTAGTACTTCTCTCATAGGCTCATTGAAAAGATTAAGTGCATTGATATATATGAAACTGTTAGAATAGTAAGAGGTACATAGAAAAATTAAGTAATTATTAACTATCATTATTAGTTTATAGATTAAAAAGTGAAGTTTAAATATATGAAGTTACCAAGTTTTATATGCTAACATATCATCAACCGCTATGTCTATTATGTTAAAAATGTAAATATTAGTAATGATTCTTACTTCCTCACACAGAGGCTTCCTTTCAACTTCTAGGAGTATTAAATTTACTTTTACAGTTAAAAATTCGTATTCACAGCTATCAGAGCTGTGGTCTAGACAACAGCATGTGACTCAAGCTCTCCAGCCCTCACCTCACCCCCCAGCCCCTGCCTGCAGCCCAAGGCAGCCCCAGCAACACCTTGGTCAGGTGCACTGTCAACATATCTACCTGTACAACCTCCTGGCACTAGGCACCTGTCAGGACACAGCCACCCTGAACTATAAGGACTCACCCTCTGTCTGGGCTGCTTTCCCTGGAAAAAACCTGTGTCACCACGCCAGCTGAAGTTGGTGTCCTGATTGAGGAAGATAGGTCAAGTTTTGTCGTGAATGAACTGATACTTGGGGGCCAAAAATGTCCTGTGACCTGCTACTCACTGCTACAGAATGGGGAATTTACAGTGGATCTTTGTACCAAAATCAGTGGCGGAGCCCCACCTTCAGTATCACTGTCACCATAACTGCCAAGACGCTAGTCCTGCTGATGGGCAAAGGAGGTGTCCACAGCAGTATGATCAACAAGACATGTTATGAAATGACCTTCCACCTGTGGTGTTCCCAGTACTGACTCGGCTTCCCTTCCATCTCACCACTCACCAGTGCTTTTGCACCCCTCACCCCCCCACTTTTTCGCCCTGCACACAAACAACATTTTTACTTGGAGGGCCATTACTCCCACTCCTTATTGCTACTAAAACCACATGGGCTGGAGACCAGGGCTGGATGGAAGGACAGCTCCCCCTACCCTTGTCCCTCCTGTGTGTGGTTGGAAAACTTATTTGTTTTTCTGAATAAACAAGAAGCTACTTAAAAATAAATAAATAAACAAACAAACAAATAATAAATACAAATAAAAAGTTTCTCTGTGAGAAGATTTCATATATTAGATAATTCTGATCTTCATTTGAAAATTTATATTGTTTATATTAACTTCTTGAACTGTGGAAGGTGGGATTGACACGCAAAGGTTTATGTCTGCTTGTTTATTAATGCTGAAAATTCAGGAGACATTTTTTTTCAATTAAATTGTAACAAACTTTAAAAGTAACCCTCAAATGTTACTTCCTGTAAGAAACTTTCTTCAACCTTCTTTTTAGAATACAGCGCCTACTCTGTGCCTCTATAACACATTCTTTTTCTTATTAGTCTAACAATTAGAAAGGTAATCAACCAATGGAAATATAATATGAGATGCAAGCATATATTTTTTTTTATCCTCACCCAAGGACATCTTCTCATTTTTTTGTTTAGATAGAGTGGGAGGGAGAGAGAGGAAGAGAGAGAGAGAGAAACATTGACATGAAAGTAACACATCGAGTGGCTGCCACCCGCACGACCAACCAGGGCCGGGGACAAACTGCAACCAAGGTGCGCGCCCTTAGCGGAACCGAACCCGGGTCTCTCTGGCCGACGCTCTAACTACTGAGCCAAACCGGCCAGGGCAGGAAATATAATATGATGTTTTGTCTTTTAGACTATAAACAGAATAGGATAAGTGAATGTATTTTATTAATTTTTAAATCCAAAGTGACTGGCAGATTACCTACAGAAAAGTGAATCAAGTTTCTCTGTGTTAAAGAGTTCCTCTTCTCTAGAAGTATTCCCACAGCAGCTGGGTAAATTTCCCCCTATGGGGATTAAGAGCTCATTCTTCTGATCCAGAGTCCCTGAGTTCATACCTGGCTTTGCCTCTTACTTGTGTTTTTTAAACATACTTCTTGACTTCTTTGCATCTCAGCTTCCTCATGTGTAAAATAGGGAGGATAATAATACTTATTTCATAGAGTTGCTTTGAAGATTAAATGAGCTAATATGCACAGACCAGTTGGGACAGTAATCAGAAGAGTAAGCTCAAAGTAGGAATTTGCTATATGGCCAGAAGTTTTGGAGAGGAAGAGGGACTCCCGAGTTGTGTGGGCCATTGTGTCTCACACATGGCAAGAGCCTTAGAGAATCTCAATTGCATGTTTATATGCCAAATTTTGAGCCTTTCTGAACTTCCGACTTTTCAATTGTTAATTGTCTCCTGAAACAATTCTGTGAAAATGAGAAAATTTCTATCTTTAGTTTATGGGTAACCAATAATAACTCTCTGTACTCGCTCTTAAATTAGGGTATAAGGAGTTCAGAGCAATATGAATTGAACAATTTTTTTTCTGGACCATGTAATATTATATTTAACATATTAGCATGAGGAAAAAAATAGGGTATAAATTGCAAAGCAACTTCAATCATTTATTGTACAAAAGTTAATTATGTAAGAAAGGGGATAAAGAATATTTAATTTTCTGAATTCTTTAAATGAAAAAGATGCATGCTTTAAGCTACAGTTTTCTCACTTAATGGAAAACAATATTCCTCACTTATGTGGAGAAATGTATCTCTACTAACTTCTGATTTTACTAGGACACAGGCAGGGATGGAATTATTATTAATTCTATTTATATAGGATCCATGTTACTTGTAAAGAATCCATTACATCTAGCTAAAACCTTCTCTTATGGTAGGACATTACCTTCACCTTCTGGTGACCCTTCTCCCAGAGGACCACTGTGAGAGCAGGTCCACATGGTATGGGGAGAAGAAATAGCAGGACTTCTTTTGAAACATATTCAATATTTTGTTGTATCTCTCCCACTCCAGAGATAAGTTCAAGGAAAATTAGAAATATTTATTTTAAAGTTAAAGCTGATTCTGTTGTTTTTTTTTTTTTTTTTCAATTACAGTGACATTCAATATTATATTAGTTTCAGATGTAGAGCACAGTAGTTAGATATTAATATAACCTACAAAATGATCCCCCTGATAAATCTGGTACCCACCTGGCACCATACATAATTATTACATATTATTGACCATATTCCCTATGCTGTACTTTACGTCCCCCTGACTATTTTGTAACTGACAATTTGTGCTTCTTAATCCCTTCACCTTTTTCACCCAGTCTCCCAACCATCTGGCAACCATCAGTTTGCTTTCTGGATCTATGAGTATGTTTGGAATCTTGGCATCTCTTATTTGGACAGATAGAATGGACTCTGGGGAACAAGCGTGTACACTCTGTGAAGAACGGGAAGCCTGCGTTCCGTTTGTTCATCACCTACAGAGCAACAGTGCAGTGTCAGTGACAATGTCCCTTCCTTCCTCCTTCCTCTACACACCTCTCCACCTCATGTCAGATGTATGTGATGTTCTAAAGAAGAAGATGAAATGCAGGGACCAAAGATGCTCTGCATCTCAAGGTAATCCAATGCTGATTGGTAAAAGCAACTCCGGAGGTCAAAGAAACACCTGATGTGTAGCCCTGTGATGTGTAGCTATAAAGCCAGAGTGATCAGTGTAGCAGAAAGGACAGGAAAAAAATCTTGACTTGGAGCCAATAAATGATCCTTAGCATTTTACTTACTTATATTCTAGTACTACTGTATAGTGTCCAGCACTTTAACATTGTCCTAGCAGTTAACTTGTGAATGAGGCAGGGCAATTACTTTTATAATCATTTTACAGAAATATGAAATGTTTGCCTCAGATCACAAACCTGATTGGACCCAGGTCTCAGTCTCTTCACTTTCAGTTTAGTGCTCTGGAACAGTGAGTGTCAAACTCTAAGACATGATAATCTGTCTGATGATCACTTAAAATTACACTCATGTGCACACCCATATATGTATTTGGTATGTAAGTATACAAGAATTCATAATTTTTATTATAAACTTATATATACTCATTGCAGAAGTATTGACTAGAAAATAAAGAAGAAAATGTGTACCACACACCACTGACATTTGATGTATTTTCTAAGGAATCAAGTACAATTTTGCTATAAACAGGAAGATTATCCTTCATTTCCTTGGGTTAGGGTGTGTTTGAGAAACAATATTACAATTATTTTCAGATGTTAGACCACATTTGTTACCACATTTCCTTCCTCAATTTTACTTGGTTTTACTCAACCTACCTCCTCAGAACTGGGCATTCCGTAAATTGAAAGTGCTTGCTGACAACTGTTGTACCTTCTTCCTCTTTTCATATTTAATAGAATACCCAATTTCTGGCTAACCATCTACTATCTCATGAAATCCTACTAAGTCATCTCATTTCCTACACCTCCCAGCTTCCAAAATTCTCTTCTTCTCTAATCTAGTTTACTTCAAGTCAAGTGAAAAGATGAGAGTTGTCAAAAAAGTTAAGTTCTCCTCTCACATAACTCCTTGTACAATCCTAAGTTACTTCACTCTTCTGAGCCTCAGCTCCCTCATCTTCAAAATGTGTTTACTCATGTGATTTTTGAGTTCCTCTCCAGCCCTAACTTTCTTAGATTCCATTGTTAAATAGCTCACTCCAGAGTGTGAGTGCCTGACAGCTCTGAACTCTTAGGAAAAGTGTATTTCAAATGTGACTTCTTGTTAACACGTATTGATCTATTCATAACATCAATGAAATATTCATCCAAAACATTTATTACATCTTTATTAAGAACTAGAGATGCATGGATCTGGTAAACCAGAGAGTCCCTGGTATCATGAAGCTTACATTGTAATGAAAATAAAGACAAGTAAACAGGTAATTATGAAAAAGTGTGATATTACTAAAGAAAAAGTCCAGGAATCTATTAGCCATGCTCGAAGGGTGGCAGTGTAGAATAGGTTTCATTTGGAGCAATATTTAATTATAGTTATGAATCAGTCAACTTTTAGTTCTTTTATTATATCACATCAATTTTTATCATTACATTCTAATTATATAGATCATAACACTTCTATCATAATTGCTTGTTATTGTTTTTATGCAAGAAATTCACAGACATCAGAAGAAATATTTTTAAAATAATTAAGAAATTTTTACATACTAATTTGTGGATCTGATAGAATGAGTAGCATTAACAAATGCAGACATCTTTGTCCTGAAGAAATATACCTTTGCTTGGGTTACATCATCAGGGCCTTCTCAGTTGTACCTCTTACAGTCTTTAGAAATTTCATGACATCAGTGCCTCCAGTTCCTTTATTTTCCTCTTCTGGTGGCTCTTCAGATGGCTGGGTATTTTTGGTCTGTTGTCTTGCAGGAATTACAATATATATAGTCACTATTTGCAAATGGTAACTTCTTAGGGAGACCATGGCATTCACACATTTCTTGTAAGTTTCCCATAGGTTATCATCCTTTTGTGAAAGGACAAACTCGCGAACTGAAGGTGCTGACTCCAAAGAATGAAGAAATTTCTGATGAGCTGGTGGCATATATGTTCGCATTTCCTGGAGAAAGTCAGCAGCATGTGCTGAAGGAACAGGTGAAAGATGAATTAGTCGAGAAAATGAAGCATCACACAATCCAGGGAGGAAGGACAGAGTGAGGTCAAAGTGGGCGGAAGATCACAGGCCAAATGCCTGGCATAAGGCAATAAATGTATAACCATCCTGTTAGAAAGCTACTAGTTAGTCTTCCTACTAGTAATTGCAATTATTGTAAAATATACTTAATTTTGAAAACCTGATGAGTTAAAGTCATTCTTTCATAAGATGAATTTTTGTGTTTCCTTTCTCGCTTTCCTACTCTATTTGATCCTTTGAAGAAGTCAATGCTATAGACAGTATATATATATATATATTTATACTGTATTTGACAGATTATGACACCAAGTCCAAGAAAGTTTAAAGAATGATTTTTAAATAAGTGAATGAACTAAAAAAAAAAAAAAAGCATATTTTCACCTATTTCTATTAAACAAAAGGTTAAGAAAAAAAGAGAAAGATAAAAGTCCTTCCTTTAAGCCCTCAGAAGGAGCATAATGAATATATTACCCCCGGGTTGCCGGGGCAGCAGCATGGCTGAATAAGAGCGGTGTCAACCTCTTCTTGTCGCTGAAGTCTCCACCTCCCCAGCTTCTACTCATAGTCCTATTTATTTGCAGGTGACTTTCTCATTTTGAATCTGATTGTACATGATCAGAATATGTGATATAGGTTTTACCATGTTCAATCAAGCCTTGTAAATACATATTTAAACGTCAAGACCAAGAGGACAATGAACATAGGTTTGAGTTCTGGCGTCAGTGCTTTCTAGCTGGTTAACAGGGAGACAGCCACTTATGCTCTTTAACTTTCTGCTTTTTCATCTGTGAAATGGGATGATGGCAACACGCGTTCTAGTGATTCTCCTAAAAGTACCAGACAAGCTCAGATAAGAACTTTGATGAGAAGATGTTTTGTCAGATATTTAAAAACTTGTATTCCCTAGGCTGGTTTGGTTCAGTGGTTGGAGTGTCGGCTGCCTACCAAAGAGTTACAGGTTTGATGTCCCATCAAAGGCACAGGCCTGGGTTGCAGGTTCAATGCCTGGCTCTGGTTGAGGTCTTGAAGGAGACAACTAGTCAATGTGTCTCTCTCACATCAATGTTTCTCTCTCTCCCTCCCTCTTGCTCTCTCCCTTCTACTCTAAAAATTAACAGAAAAATATCCTCAGGTGAGGAATAACAACAGAAAATATTGTATTAACATAAGAGATGATTATTATTTGTCATTTTCTGCTCACCTTCACCAGCACTATGCTGGATGCCCAGCAGAACATCAAAGCACTGAAATGTGCTGCTTTGAGCTGCACTACCCCCAGCGAACATTTTTGGGGTGTCCCAGACGCCTTCATACAGCAGACCCTCTGGAAGCTTGGGGTTTCCTTTCCAGCTAGGCCAAGAAGGAAGAAAAATCATTATTTGGATGGATTGCCAAATTTTCAGATATAAAATATTGCAGTGGAGAATAACACAAGACAGAGTTTATTCTTCTTCTTGCATATTCCCCTATCCACTCCAGTGAATGCAGGAGAATAATAAGTAACATGATTCTGAGAAAATTTGGCCTAAGTATTCTATAAATGGAATGTGCAGTTGCATTAGCAAAGATCATTCCTCTCTTTTTAAAATGACTAGCTTTTCTGTCCATACTCCCTTGTGCACCTGGACAAGTAATAACAGAGAGCATAGTCTATCATTTTTCTACAACATGTATTTTAGAATATTTAAAAAAATATTTTCTAAACATGATGGACAGTGGGGACTATCAATGGGAATTTGATATATTCTTTATGTTAATTATGTAAGAGAAAAATTCAAGCATAAAGCTACATACCCAGACAAGTATATGCGAAGAACATTGAAAAAAAGATGTGGGTCCACATGGTCTGTAAAAAGATAGAATGTGTTTAGTTAAGTAACATCCGTCTAAAAGGGAAATGAAGACATTGTAAACAACTGACAGAGGAGTTCAGTAGAGGCTACAGGAAAGGCATGAGGTCATTCTTTGTAGAGAAACTTCCTGAGGACAAGCTCTCACTCACTTGCCCTCTCCCAGGTGAGCCTCGCCCTTCTCTTGTGCCTCCTGAATGGGATCTACCAGGGGGCTAACACATGGCTTATATCCAAGAGCCTGGACCCACCTGCTACTCGTCCTCAGATCAATTAAACTGACAACATTTATTTAAGGCTACTTCATGTGCTTACTGACATAACAGATACATTTTGTGCATAAACAAACAAACAAATTTGAACAAGAGAAAAACAGAAACAAAAACTTCAGAAGTCCTATGGCCCACATCCCTAGGTCTGCCTCTTCCCATACATACATACAAAGTTTCCTAATGTCTTTGGTTTGAAGGTCAGTCTTCTCACCACGGACCACTCAGCATAACTCAAATCCCAGTGACAGACACATACTTATTAAGGCCTCCCAGTAGAGCAAATTTCCTTTTGCAAATCATACTTATGTACTTTTTTGGTTATTGTTTTGTAGCTGTTAATTTTGCAATTACTTTGGAGCTCAATGATTTTCTTTGTTGTTTCTTAGTTAACTTGTGAAAAAGCAGAATTTATATAGAGTTCTTATCAAGCAAAAGCTAAGTCTTTCAGAACTTAAAACAGCCTGCACTCTTGGCAAGTTTCTCCAAGGGTTTTAGTGAGAGGCAAAGATGTTTCTAGTTAGGTAGATTCAGCTGGGAGTCTGGCTTCAGTATTTAGTCCTTTGTAATCTTAGGTCATTTATCTTACCTCTCCAAATTTAGATTTTCTTCTCTATAAAATGAACATGAAAAACACTATCACTTGGAAAATATAAAAATTCAGTGAGATAAAATAAAATGAAAACACACCCACTAGGTGAGAGTGTGTTTGCTTCCATTTTGTCAACAACTCTATATCTCAGGTAATCAGAAACATTTGTCAGAGGCCTAGAATGTCATATGCACACAATATTTACCACGAATTTGCTGAAATACTTTAAGGGCTCTGTCCAGACAAGAAGTTACAAAATCCAGTGCATTTTGCAAAGTTTCTTTGTCCATATGCTGTATTGCATTGAATATAGTGGGAATTTTCTACAATAAAACAAAACAAAACAAAATAAAATAAAATAAAATAAAAAGGCAAACACTCAAGATTTCCTAGCATTAAACAGTGGCATAGAATAAAATCCCTCTAAGTCTTAATTCCTATATTAAATTTGTGATTTTTATTTCTTTCTTGAGCTGAGGATTCTCCAACTGTTTGACTAATTTTCTTATATATCCTTAAGCTTGAACTTGTCTTTCTTCATTTATCATTTAGAGATAAGTTTATAGCATTTTATATATTTCTATTTCTACTTCTAATAGTCAAAACCATTAGATTTATGTCACTATGTAATATAGTTCCCATGTCAAATTGCATTGAAAATATTCCTCTTATTGGGGTTTCAAATTTTATTCTAAATATGTGACTCCTACATATTATATTTTAGGCAGTGCACAAAAAATAAATAACATATTTGTTACTACCAGATTATCCCTTATCTCCAATTAAATAATCAAATGCTATATTTAGTCAGGATAAATTTACTTTATGCATAATATAGTTCAGTTACGAAGTGATTTCTCTGCTTATATGAATTGAGATACAAATTTTCTAAGATGGTTGACATACTTGTATTGCAGCAGCAGCTTCTATTTCAACCAATAGAGAAATCAGAAAGAATCCTTTACTGCAATCCGCACCAGGAAATGAGAACAGAATGTCCATGTTCCTAAGAAAATAAATTTAAAAGTCAAGAATGTAGCAAGAATATTATCAGTATATTTGTTGACTACTTTATATTTTTAAAATATTTTTACTTGTCTTGTTTTATTTTAGAATAATCTTTTCAGATAAGTATTACAGGTTTTATAATCTTCATTATATAGTCAGGAATATTAATGTTATATCTATTGTCTAAGATCATATCATTAATAGAAGATTAAGCTGGGACTTGAAATGCCATTGTAGAACTTGGAGCTAGAAATTCCAAGATCATTTATGTTAGTGCATTCATTTTTCCCATGCATGTATATATACGTACATAAATACATAAACACACACTCAGTGTTTATAGAGATATCTGTGCAATCTAATTTTAAAAAGTGGTCTTTTTGCTTAAATAACTGTATATGCATATTTTTATCTGTGAATCTGATTCAATTTATCAGTAGGAATTGTCTGGCTAATTCAAATAACTAAATAGACCCTATTTTCTTTCTTATTGACTATTTGCATTAGTGCAAACAGGTCTCAGTATCTGTATATCCATGAGTTTCATGGTGGCTAAATTCATAGTCTCTAAAGTCATACCACTGCTGTAGTTTACTTGCTGTGTTACTTGGAGCATTGATATTCCTCTGTTTCTGCATTAATATTCTCATCTGTAAAATGAGACTAATGACATCCTCTCACTTCCATAGCTTCCTATTTATTTTCAGATAGTGCTTAAACCCCTTATAATGGCCAAAAGTCCTACATAATATTTTTAAGTTTATTTATTCATTTCTTTTTTATATTGTTACTTTCATCATTGATTTATCAGCAACAACAGCTTTCCTTCAGCTCTGATAATGCACCAAGATTTTTTTCCTTTTCATCAAATGTATTGGGGTGACACTGGTTAACAGAATTATATAATGCATGAAGATTTTTGTCACTTGCTTTATTCTCCACAATGAACACTCTTTTTTTTTTTTCTTCTAGCTAATTTATACTTATTCTTGAGGACTCCGTTTAAATAACTTGTCACAGGGATACCTCCTTTGTCCCTTTTATTTGGTTGGACATTCCAGTAGTTTATCTTCTTATCCCTTCTCTTAATTATATAGTAATTTGTACAATTTTAATATGTTTCCTTTTCTCCCCATTAGTCCAGCTTCATCAGGGCTTGGTTATTCCTATGACATTTACCTTTATTTCTCTATCTCTTAACCTTTGCTTAGTATATGGATAAAAAATAGCAAGAATGGGGTCAAAAAGAATAACTTTATGTTTCTGGCCACTGAGTTCATTGTCATAGATAACAGATGTATGTGTATTTTATATTTAGACCTATTAAATACATTTGTATATATGCAAGAATTACATTCATATATATCTATAGCTATAATATCAAACAGTCACACCACCATCATAGATATAATTAAAGACCGGGATTATTTGCTCTTTAAATAATTACTTGAATTTTATTTTGCCTGAATTCAATTGACCTTTAAAAAATTATTTCCAATGATATTGATTAACCTATATTCACTTTGAATAACAAATAATTCTTAGACTAAAATAAGAACAAATACTTACTCATAAGTCATGGGCCTTTTCAAAGCAACAGTGAAGCAATGGACCAATTGGAAGAGAGAAGAAAGAAAAACATTTTAAAAATCAAATGATTTCAAGTTATTGATATTAGATTTAGTGCTGCTGTTATTAGATTTAATACTACTTATAAGAATTAATACTACTATCATTAAATTTAATGGTTCTTATAAACTATAGTTAGTAGATTTAAATATACTGTTAAAGGTACGACATAGTTGGGTAAAAAAGAAAAAGTATATTTTTATATTTTTCAAGTCATTGCAAATGCTTAGAATTTTATAAGGAAAATAAAAATTAAATATTCAACAAACATACATAAATAGTCATACTGGTTGTGACTAACAAAATAAACTTTCCTCAATCCATTCATTTCATTTTAGGCCATTTCCATGTCTAGAATATTCTTCTTGAGATACACACACACAGAGCCATGGGGCACCATAATTGTCTTATTCTTTTATTGTAGGAATTCCCATCACTAAATGATTAGGAAGATTCTAAATTCTGAGCAAGCTACTCAAAAAACAAAAAACAAAAAAACGCAGACATTGCCATCTCTACTGCTGAAGATGTTCTCTTAAACTCAACTGGATAGTTAAAAATTAAATTTGTAGAATCTCAGAAACACGTTAATCAAGAGAATCTAGACACAAAAGAGTACACATTCTATGATCTCATCACTATGAAATGCAATAACAGAAAAAACTAACTTCTGATATGGCAATATCAAAATATATTTGCCTGAGGTTAGAGAAGGGAATTGAAGGGAAAGAGCCACAAAAGAATTTCCCGAGGTGATAGAAATATTCTGTACCTTTCTTAGGGTTATACATGATTATAATAGACTTAGCAAACTGACCACTTAGGATTTGTGCATTTTATTGTATGCTAATTATACACCTCTCTCTCATATATGTACAACATGTTTGTGATACATCAAAGAAACCTTACCCCTGAAACAGAGGAGAAAGCTATACTGCCCCAAATTAAACATTTTTATTATAATCACTGTTTACATACCCATTGGGATCCTTTTTCTTCCAGTTTGCCAAGACACAGTCTGCATATACCAGGATGGGAGGCAGTCCCAGCTTCTCAGAGAGTTTGCAGTAAGGGATAGCAATATTGCTTGGCAGGACCTAATTAAAACACAATATTTAGTATAATCTTTGAAGAGTCTTAGTTTTCTTTTGCTTCCTGGGTGCCAAAACATGAACTGTTATATAGAAGGGCACCTTGAAAACAAATGCTTATTTCTCTTCCCCATTTTGTAACCTAGTTCTGGTTAATTGTTAAATGTTTGAGTTTTCGATTTGTATTGATGTGGTCGCAATCTAATCATAGAGAAAAACGGAAGTAGAGGGCAAGGAGAACAATGACTGTATCCTTGACTGTCTCATGACCCTATGCTATCTGCATTCATTCATTTATTCATCCCATGAATATTGGTCAAGCTACTCTGCTATGCAAGGCACTGTTTATACACCCACAATGCAAAGATAAAATTAATTGTCTCAAAGGAGCTCAAAGTCATTTGTAATTAAGGCTTTTGGATATGATACATAATAGAAGTGCAAAAAGATGGCTGCACTTAGAGTACAGTGTTGACAGAAACTCTCTACTGGATGGTTTTTTAGAAAACCTCACCATAGGGGTCATTAGTGCTTGGCCTTAAAATCTTACCTGTGTTGGTAAGAGGAATTGCTCTTGTTTTCTATTTCCATGCAAAATATATCAACGGGAGTGACATTCTTGGCTTATCTCAGCGCCTTTACCCACCCCTCTTCAGAAGTTTATTTAATTGCTGAGTTTTGGAGTAAAACTATAGCTCAGTCCCTTTTTCTCCTCAACTCTTCTGTTCTGGAACCTGTTACTCGTAGATGCTCTGTTTTGGGCCACTTCATAAAAGGCTCCTACCCCTACGAGGGGGATCCTGATGGGTAAGTGCACTCAGCTTGTCCATGGTTGACACATACTAAAGCCACATTCTCCAACTGCTCTATTAGTCATGAAGCTGACATTTTCTTTTTCATTTGCCTTACTTCTTCATCTAACTATATTTGGTTTATAATTACATGATCCCATGTAATAATTATAGTCATGCTTATCATCAGCTGCCTATAGTTTGGGATACGCATATCTAACCAGGCAAAGGACAGGGATGTGTGTGGCCCATCTGGGGTAGTGCATTGTAGGACTTAATGATGATTTAACCAAAATAACAAAAATGTAAGAATAGAATCATTGATTAATAAAAGAACACTTGGCTGCCTGGCTGGTGTGGCTCAGTGGACTGAGCATCATCCCATGGACTGAGAATTCCCAGTTCGATTCCCGGTCAGGGCATATGCCCAGGTTGCAGGCTTGATCCCCAGTAGGGGGTGTGCAGGTGGTAGCCGATGGATGTTTCTCTCTCACATGGATATTTCTATCTCTCTCACCATTCCTCTCTTTCTTAAAAAAATCAATAAACACACACACACAAAAACAAACAAACAAACAAGCAAACACTTAGATGTGTACTTTCCTTTGCAGACCTTGTGCTACTGGAAATAAAACATTCTGTTTGGCAAATGCTTTCCCTATATTTCAAAAGGAAATACATTGTGTTCCTCTCTAGATTAGAGAAAAGATCAAAAGGGAACAAAAGGGAAAACATTTAATCAAATAATTCATTTGAAATGGCTTAGGAAAATGAAAGGAAATGTTCAAACACATCTTCATCTGTTATAGACACCCATGCAGCTGCTAAGAAATTCAGTCGCTAATTCCTTGCCCATTCTCAAGCAAAATGTGCCTTGTATTGATGTAACCTATTTTTTATACATTTATTTTTTCTTCCTACAATTTTTTCACTTAAAAATTTTTTTTAATTTTTGTTTTCTTTATTGACCTTAGAGAGAGAGAGTAAAGGAGAGGGAGAGAGAGACAGAAACATTGATGAGAGAGAACATCGATTGGCCACCTCCTGCATGCCCCTCACTGGGGATTGGGCCCACAACCTGGGCATGTACCCTGACCAGGAATCAAACCGGTGACCTCTTGGTGCATGGGTCGATGCTCAATCAGTGAGCCACACTATCCGGGCTTCAGTTAAATTTAAAAAGTATATTTATATATTTTTTTCATCACCAGCTTCTAAGATCTCTTTTAAAATGAATGATATGGATTTCCGGTCAAGATGGCAGAGTAGGTAAACGCGGTATTACCTCCGGCCACAACCACATCAAAATTACAACTAAACTACAGAAGAACCATCATTCAAAACCACCTGACATCGAGCTGAATGGTAGTCCTACAAGTAAGAAATTAAAGCAGCGGCCACATTGAAACTGGTAGGAGGGGCAGAGGCATGGACAGGCTGGTCCCACACCCACGTGTGCTGGATAAAAATCAAGAGGGACACCTCTGCTGGGAAGGTTGTCCTTGAGTAGTGAGGGGGTCCCCCTTCCACACCAGGGTACCAGTTCAGGGTTAGAGTGCCAGGAAGAGAAGTCCCTATAACTTCTGACTAGAAAAACCAGTAGGAACTGAGGCAGAGAAAGGGTGCGGCTGCTGGAGCCCCAGGCAGCTCCTCTTAAAGGGTCCCTGCATAGACTTACTCAGACTGGCTCCTTCTGAGCTCCAGCCTGGCAGAGACAGCTCAAAAGGCACCAGAGACATACGAGGAAGAACTGAGTTGTTTGGCATTGGGGCGGAGGCTGCAGAGGCAGCTTTCTCCTGGACAGATTGCTGTCAGAAGCCTTTGTTCCTTTGGTGAGCCCTTTCCCCATGAGGCCACCAAGTAACAGCCATATCTGGAACTCCAGCCACCTGGCTCATACAATTTGCCCTGCCCTGGTGATTCCCTGAGGCCCTGCCCCACCCAACTTTCAGGCCCGTCCAAGTTGTTCCCAGTTGCTTTACCATAGGAATGGCCTGTCTTGGATCCTTCTTCAGAGTTTCCTAAATTCTCTCAAACAAGCAGCATTTGGTCTCAGTAAACCCCATAACTCTCATTAAGTGACCCCAGGCCTGGCACTAGAAGCAGTCAGTCTTAATTCACAACTTGGCTTTACCTGGGCACCTTCAAGCCCAGCACAAGAAGCAGCCATCTGTAGGCTGCTTTGTAGCTAATGCCTGGTGGCTCTGGGTAGAACACAGGCAGTGGCTGACCTTACCTCAGAGCCAGCACACCCAGTGGACAGCTTCAGAACACTGTGAAACACCACCACCCAACCACCTCCACAAGTGACACACTCAAGGAATGGACTCCTTGGGTACCAGAGCCTTTCTAAAGTAAGTCTTGCTCTGTGTGGTGGGCCCTTGCACAGCTGATCATCCAAGGTAGTCAGAGGTCAGTGGATAGTGGGCACAACTAGGCCTTGCAGATGATCAGCCTGAGTAAAACCCTCTGATTGATGTGCCAACAGCAATCAAGACTCAATGACAACAAAAGGGTATGAAGTCCACCTGAGGGGTGGACCTCGAGGGCCCAGCTAGGCCACTAAGAAGGCTGGGCCACTGGACCCTACAGGACACCTACTACAATAGGTCACCCTAGGAAGCCCAGGAGACATAGCAACTCTACCTAATATATAGAAACAACCACAGGGAGGCAGCCAAGGTGAGGAGACAAAGAAACATGTCCAAAATGAAAGAACAGAACAAAACTCCAGGAAAAGAACTAAATGAAATGGAAATAAGTAATCTAACAGATGCAGAGTTCAAAACATTGCTTATAAGGATGCTCAAAGGCCTGGCTAGTGTGGTTCAGTGATTAAGCATCAAACCATGCACCAAGAGGTTCATGGTTCAATTTCCAGTCATGACACATGCCTAGGTTGTGGGCCAAATTCCCAGTGGGGGGCATGCAGGAGGTGACCAATCGATGTGCTCTCTCATTGATGTTTCTATCTCTCTCTCCCTCTCCTTTCCTCTCTCTCAAAAATCAGTAAAGAAAAAAAAAGGATGCTCAATGAACTTAGTGAGAACTTCAATAAACTTAGTGAGGGCCTCAAGAGCATAAAAAAGGACCAGTCAGAAATGAAGGCGGCACTAACTGAAATAAAGAATAATTTACAGAGATTCAATAGTAGAATAGGTAAAGCCAAGAAGCAAAGTATCAATTTGGAATATAAGGATGCAAAAAACACCCAATCAGAACAGCAAAAAAAAAAAAAAAGAATCCAAAAAAATGATGATAGTGTTAGGAGCCTATGGGAATTTTAAGCATGCCAACATTTGCAACATGGTGGTGCCAGAAGGAGAAGAGAGAGAATAAGAAATTGAAAACCTATTTAAATAGCAATGACAGAAAACTTCCCTAACTTGGTAAAGAAAATAGGCATAGACATCTAGGAAGCACAGAGGGTCCCAAACAAGATGAATCCAAGAGGCCCACACCAAGACACATCAGAATCAAAGTGCAAAAGGTTCAACACAAAGAGAGAATCTTAAAAGCAGCATGAGAAAAGCAGCTACCTACAAGGGAGCTCCCATATGACTGTTAGACTGTTAGCCGATTTCTCAAAAGAAACTTTGCAGACCAGAAGGGAGTGGCAAGAGATAATCAAGGTGATATAAAGCAAGAACTGACAACCAAAATTAGTCTATCTTGCAAAGCTATCATTAAGAATTGATAGACATATAAAGAGTTTCCCAGACAAGAAAAAGCTAAATGAATTCATCACCACCAAGCCAGTATTATATGAAATGTTGATAAAAAATATGAACAAACAAAATGGCAATAAATACATATCTATCGACAATTGAGTCTACAAACAAAATGAACAAGCAGAATAGAAACATTCTTATAGATACAGAGAACATTTTGTTGGTTTCCAGAGGGGAGGGGGGTTGAGGGAATGGGTGGAAAAGGTGAAGAGATTAAGAAGTACAAATTGGTTGTTAGACTGACAAACCTCAAAGGGAAGGGGTAGGGGAATAAAACAAAAAACTTCTTTGCATATATGCACAACCAATGGACACATACAACAGTGTGGGGAAAGGCAGGAGGGGGGTGGGAGCAGGGAGGAGGAGGGCAATAGGGGAAAAAGGAAGAACATCTGTATCATATTCAACAATAAAGATAAGTTTAAAGAATGAAATACAATGAATGAAATGGCATATAAAAATATACATATTTATGTTTTATTTTATAACTCTGATATCCAACCTGGTGAATGTATTGTCTTTTGATTTGGCCATGTACATTCTGATGTCCACATTTTTTGCCAGCTTCTATCTTTTTTCTGTTCCCCTCTTGTGTGGATAAGCATTACCAAATCTTTCAAGCACTAATTCAAATTCCACTTCCTTCTTGAAGCATTTCATGATTACATTAACTACAATTTAACTCCTCTGGACTCTCATGCTTCTATATCTATAGTTTGTTGTCCTAAATTATTGATGCTGCATTATGGATATTCTTTTTATATACAATGTCCACACATTTAGCTAGACTCAGATTCTGGCAAGTCCAGTAAGATCACATGCTTAGCTAAATTTTAAGGTAGGTTGCCAGACTAGAGCTTATTTTAAACTTTTTGTGTCATCACAAATCTTGACACAGCAGTTTAATGATTATAAGGAAATACAAGTTGTCCCATGATTATAAAGAGCAACCTTTTCTCTTTTCTCTGTATCAGGGAATGACTCATCACATGGGTGGACTATATGTGTTGTTCTATCTTTAAACAGGAAAGAAAAAGCTAAGATAAGCTACCTTCCTCAAAAAAGAAAGTAGTTTCACTAAATGCCAAAGGTGCGCTTGGAATCTATGTTATCCCTTCATGATGTAACAGTTAGGTATTATAGTCTATCTTGGTTTCATGTGATTAGGGTTGCCAGATAAAATACAAGATGATATTATTTTAAATTTAAAGTTACCTACTGTTGATGAGAGTAGAGTGAAACTAATATATATTCTTTTATGTTGACAGATGTAAGATATCATTTTAACATTAACTAAGAATAGCCATATAATTTTTATATCTCCCAAAAGTCATAGAGAAAAGGTTTTCATATTCAAATATATTGATTATGTATAATTTATAATAATAAGCCACTAAAATCAAGTAAAGTATTTTTTAATAACAAATTGAAGTTCAGAAACTCAATAAAAAATTATAAAGTAATTTCAAATGATGACTAGAATGCTTATATAGTAACTAAACATTGTTTCCAATATAATTTAAATGAAAGAAGCAGGACATATATGTATTTGCACAGAATGGAACAATTGTGTTATATTAGTTAAAGACTAAAAATTTAATAATGATCACAGGTGACGTTGCAAAGTAAGTGAATAATTTTTTTTCCATTTTTTTTAGTTGCCTTATTTTTCAAGTTTTACAAAATGCAGTTATAATAGTTTTAGAATATTTTTATGTTAAATGTAAGTTGGATATTAATCTGTCATGTAGCATAAAAAATATTAGGAAATCTCCATACCTTACAAGCATCATCACCTTGGTTCCACACATATGCCATGGTGATATACCCTAGGACCAGGTGTGCAAGGCGCTGCATCTTGTGTCCTTGGAGGTCATCAATGCTGAGCAATGGTAACTGGGAATAAATGGAGAGGTTGACCCAGATTAACATGGGTGACATTATAGCTTCAACACCAAATTAAAAATGTTAAGAAGTTATTGAAAAGAAGATCAGTGTAATAGTTATTCACACCTTTTCAGCTTCTGCACGTAGTTCATCCATCTCAATCAGGAGAGGAAGTTCTTTAACAATGGAAATCCAAACATCATAAGGGTGAGGTAGTTCCTCCTTAAAAAAAAAAAAGGTTATTATAAAATAGTTTTGTCTCCCACTGATAGTCTGTCTTGCCTTTAAATCAATACTGTGCAATGCAGCCCTGACACACACTTGCCTATTTAACTCTATCAACACCTGCCCAGCATTGCCACTGGCACACTCAAGGCTCATCACCTTCTCTGCATTCCTCCTCCTCTCCCAAGCACTCTCATCTCCTCTTTTTCAAAGGTCATCTCCAAAGTTCTACTAAAATCTTCCTGACTACTACATATTCCCAATGATAAATCCTATGTATTGCATACCTTTACCCATTTTTAAGTAATATATTTGTTAACTGTTATTATATTTACTTCTCAGCTAGATTTTAAGTCTTTTTTGTAGGAAAGAAATATGAGATTTATTAAATATCATCAGCAGACTAGGAACTTCACTCAATGATTTCTCATTTAATTATTGTAGTGACCCAAAAAGTCGATTGTCTTCATGTCACAAATATGGAAAAAGGCTTGGACAGTTTACTAACTTGTTTTGTATATATAGTTCATTGTGATTCAAATTTGTTTCCAACTTTCAACAATCCATGCTCTTTTTACATCTTACTACCCGATGGCAAGGTCTTTATCATGCTGTGAATTCTATATTTCCTACAGAACCTGGCACAGTGCTGGATACGTAGGAAACGCCATATATATATACATGTTGAGTGCCCACTCTGGCTCACTATAGGTTTATTTTTTTCCCAAAAAGTTCAAATAAAAGTGCCTCTCTGGATCTTATCATATTTATAATCTAATATGAAGGGAAACATATAAGCAAAATACCTAGGAAACACTCTAAAATGAGATTCAGATCCCTGAACAACTACCCCTATGCCCTGGTCCCATCTCTCCTTCATTAAGCTACTTCAAGACACGTCCTTGGTGTCACCAAGGCTGACCTCTATGGATGGAGAGATTAAGTGAAACCAAAAGGGTGAAATTTTAAACTGTAAAACAAAGTTAATGTTATAAATAAGTTATAAAACAAGAATGCACATGTACTATAAAATTCAAACATTTTCAGGGCTGCAGACAATTGGCTAGTCTTAATCTGTTAGAGCAGAGTTTTAGCAATGAACGAGTTAGACAGTATGTTCACTAGAGTGTCACCTTTCTTGTTTACCCTGAACTATTCTCCCTAACCACACAAATGCTGTGCTCTAGTGTTTTTAGTATTCTTATATATTTTTTGTTGTGTGTTTCATTGGGTAGCATACCAAATTATTGGCTGTTATTTTTCCCCAGAACAGAAATTTGTTTTTGGTTACATATCATGATCAGAGTCCTATTTAACAGAAGTTTCAACAAATATAAAATCCAATCAATAACATACTTCTGGTTCAGAGGATGCCTAACTGACACCATACAAATGAAGGATAACAAGAGGGCCATTCAATTTATGCTACGTTAGACAATGTGTTTTGTATCCATATGGAATTAAAGACATATTATTTTCTTTGGAACTAGGAAGCTGATAGGTTATAAGAGATGGAATGCATTTTTTTGAAGCTTATACTTTGCCTGAACGATCTTCAATGAAGAACATAAAGTAACCCTTAATTTTTGTGAGTGTTTCAAGACACTGAATCTAATTTCCTAAGCATCTCAAGTAGCAACATTATTTTTTTAAGTAGCTCAGGAAGAATTTTGTTTTGCCTCTGTTTGGAGTTTTGCTTTAATGCATGGAATCTGTTCTATGGAGTCTCCATAATTACTGTGATTTTTTTTTTTTTATTTTTGTACAAGAAATGAATCTTTTTTGGGGAAAAAACTAAATATGAGGTTTGGTAATTTCTAAAAAAGTTATTTATTTATTTATTTATTTATTTATTTATTTATTTATTTATTTATACTGTTGATAAGTATACTAAAACAAGCCAGTACTGGTAAATGTTTGTGCTTATATGGAGAAGGAACAAATCGGACTAGTATTGATTTGCAAATATAAAGTAAACTAGGTGCTTTTGGCAATAAAATTAAAATCTATACTTCACAGTCTTCTTTTTTATCCTCACCTGAGGAGGGTTTTGCATTTACCTTCAGACAGAGTGGGAGGGAGAGAGGGAGGAAGAGAGAGAGAGAAGCATCAACATGAGAGAGACACAACGAGTGGTTGCCACCCACACGACCCCAGGGACAAATTGAGGGCACAAACTAAGGGCACATTCCCTTAGCAGGAACTGAACCCAGGACTCTCTGGTCTGCAGGCTGACGCTCTAATCGCTGAGCCAAACTGGCCAGGGCTATACTTCCTAGTCTTAAATTAACTTAATAATTTGAAGGTACAAATAATGGATTAGGAGGAAGAATTTGCTTTAGATTTTCCTCTATTACACTAGGTATTTACAGAATGTTATTTCTAAGTACAGTTAGAGTGGAATCTCTGACATATATATTTACTGCATTTAATAATGCTTTCTAGAGTGTGGACTCTGGTTGAGCCACAAACAGAAACATATTTTTGTACATTATTCTTGGAACATGGAACCAGTTCCTAAAAACACTCTCCTGGACTCTCATTATCTTGTTACACTCAAGAGTGATGGTGGGGAAGGGAGAGTGCCTAGTGATTTCTTCTCTTAAGAGAGTCAGCATAATATAATGGTTTGAAAATCATGAACTCTGAAGCCAAAAATATTAGACTCATATCCTGTCTCTGTCATTGCTAACTGTGTGAGTTTGGATAACTACTAAAATTGTGCATAGCTTAGATTTCTCATCAGAAAAATCAGGTTATTAACAGCACACTTTATAGGATGGTTGTGAAGATGGAAAAGATGCTTAAAATATTAAATTAATATTTTGATAATGAAAATATTGATTAATGATAAGAGTTTTCATGGCATTCTTTTCAGGATGAATTAGGGAAATGCCATTGTTAAGGTAAACATTACTTGTGTTTCACTTTGTAGACAAAACTTGTAAAAAAAAAAAGGTAGTTCAGACTCCTTTTGACTCTTTGACAACATTATTGCTTGTTGCTTAGTAATAACAAGCAATATTAATGCAACACACTTGCTAGATGTGCCATCTCAGAAGCCTAATCAAAATACAAGCATATACTTTGTACAATTTACGGTATACCAGGCAAGAAAGGGGATACCTTTGACTATGGATCAATTATTATTTCATTGTTTTTCAAAATGCCCTCCGAAATCACAATTGTATTAAACCAAAATACATCTACTGTTTCCCTATCTCATCACACTCTGTATCTGTGTAAGATAAGTAGTGCATCTAAGAGTAAATTCCTAGCTTAAAAATTTTAAGAAAGTTAAGCAGAACCCATTTGTTAAAACTCTGCCTTCAAGTTTGGCAAGCTTTATCCATTTATTAAGCAGGAATGACTAAACCACATTTTTAAAAAATAGAGGTTGACTTACCCAGATAAGTAATAACAAGAAAATATTTTTGCCATAATTCAGTACCCTCTCTTACCAGTGGATTCTGTAGAGCAAAGCCCACATTTTCATCTATGTGGTATTCTTCATCAATGTCCCAAGCACTTCCCATAGGAGTTACTTCATGTGCCATTCTTGCAGTCTATGCATTTTAAAAAAATAGAGGTTGACTTACCCAGATAAGTAATAACAAGAAAATATTTTTGCCATAATTCAGTACCCTCTCTTACCAGTGGATTCTGTAGAGCAAAGCCCACATTTTCATCTATGTGGTATTCTTCATCAATGTCCCAAGCACTTCCCATAGGAGTTGCTTCATGTGCCATTCTTGCAGTCTATGCCTCTGGCTCTCCTCAGTCTGCAAGGAGTTTCAGAGCATCTATTTATTGGAGATGTTGCCATAAGCAGTGACCACAGCATCTCAAGTAGAAAGTAGGAAATTACTTCCACTTTTGAAGGAACAGTTTCATTTTCCATTTCGTTTGTAATCTGATAAACAGCGAGATCACATAAACATCATTGTTCATCATATAAAGAAACTAAAAGTTTATATTCCATGACACATTTTTATCTCTGGGAATATCATTTGTTTACTGCTGTAGGGGAGCTTGGAAAGGACCTAATTGAAATACAAAAGCCATGAAAATGGCTGACCAGAAGAGAACATTTTTATTTTATGGGAACTTTTAAATCTTTGAATTAAAATGATGAATTTTACCAAGGCAAAAGTCCTAAACCATCATTTATTTACTACTGTTATTGGCTTTCTTTTAACTTACCAGGGATCTTTGAACATACTAATGTGTTGTTTCGGCAGCCATGAAATACAACCTGTAATACAATGAACTGTTAGTCAGTGACTCTGAAGTAGAAAAAAGTGGTAGCACGTGAAGAATTTAAGAAGACAGTACCTTTTCACCTTCCATTTTTCTTACCCAGTCTTTGATCTGTGTTCATAATGATGGAGTTTTTCCTTCTCCATATTCCTAGTAAGTCACTTTATTGTGATTTTCCTGCATCTCTACTATATCTGACTTGTAGGGACTGAGGCAAAAGTTGTTCACACTTGAAGACTTTGTAATATATTGAAAAGAAGGATAAACTACCTTGTTTTTGTTTTTTTTAAGACTGGGCTTTGCCATACAGACTTAAATATACATTAAGACTACATTTGATAAAGGTTTTCAGGGTGTCTGCTGGTCTATGAACACTTACAGTCATTGTTTCAATGTCACTAACAAAGCCCAAGCAAAAACAGTAGCCATATTGTTCCATTTGATGATCAAAAGGTGAAGAGAAGTTAATGTTCAGTACATTAAAAGACAATGCAGTTTTGTCATACAGTTAATCAGTACTGGGAATATATTTTAATAGTACATGACTTTGTGACTACATTCTAGGCATAGTTCTCACACTGTTCTTCCCTATTACATTGAAGCTTTTATAATGAGGATGTCATTTTACAAGAATATGTTCTTAAAATAAAGGTAAGGGAAAACGAAACAGAAATTTTATAGCAAAGAGTACACAATGACTCAATCTCTTTAAAATGAATGATTCACCACAGAACTTATATGCATGTATGCATGACCAATGGACATGGACAACTAAGCCGGGGACGGGGCGGGGGTGGGGTGGGGAGGGGGGGTGCCAATGGGGTAAAAAAGGTAAAATATCTGTAACAAAAAAATAAATAAAAATTAAAAAAATAAATAAATAAAATGAATGATTCATGAGGCTGATATTGAAACCAGTTCCAAGAAAAAAGAAAACAAATAAATAAAATGTTGACTTACCATATCTGTATAAAAACCCAAAATAGCCCTGGACAGTTTGGCTCAGCAGTTAGAGCGTCGGCCTGCGGTCCAGAGAGACCCAGGTTCGGTTCCCGCTAAGGGCACGTACCTCGGTTGCAGTTTGTCCTTGGCCCTGGTTGGGTTGTGTGGGTGGCAACCACTCGATGTGTCCCTTTCATGTAGATGTTTCTCTCTCTCTCTCTCTCTCTCTTTCTCTCTCTCTCTCTCAGTCTCTCCCACTCTATCTGAACAAAATATTGAAAAATGTCCTTGGGTGAGGATTAAAAACTAATAATAATAAAAATAATATCAACAATATATTGAGAATTGAAAAATGTGTGGTTATTTCCACGATTTTTTGTTCTTTGCACCTGAATCATTTTATGGGTGAGTCAAAACAGAGGAACGTAATGCATTTTTAGATAATTCTGTCTGAAAAAAAATCTCTGAGGATTGGTTGTTTTTTAAAAGAAACATGATTTGAAAACATTTTTCTTGACTCTACTTATCCCACTATTCAACTAAATCTATTCTACATTTGACTGTAGAAACACTCCTTTACTATCCTATTTTTATCTCAATCTTTTTAACTTCAAACTTCAAGATCTTTTATATTTCTGAAATACATTCTCAGATGATCCTCATTCTTTATTCGTCTTCATTTTTATTTAGCAATAACCAAATCCAGTCATGCAGGATTGCACAACAGTACAGTAGTTCAAACTCTGAGTTAACACCCTCTTTATAAACAGTGAAACTGAAAAAAATGCTCCAGCCTCCAAGAGTATGAGAGAAATCACAAAAAGAAATAAAATATGACATTTCCTTCTTCTCCTATGAACAGTCAAAAATTTTAGACTCTCCACTGAACTGTGCACACACAGAGCAGATCCAAGGAAGTACAGTAAACTCCCAGAACTTAACTACAATATAAATGACTGTCCAAATCCCAGAATAAACCTTGAGTGGTACCAGCTAACAGAGGTAGCATAGAAAAAGCTTTGAACTGACTTTGAAACTCCTCTACAGGGAAGATGATACAGCACTTGTGGTCAGAACCTAACCAGCATAATTTCATGCTAAAACAAACAAAAAAATCAGCCTTCTCCAGAGGATTTTAACAGAATCTAGAGCCTCACGTCATAGTATAATCCAAAGTTACATAACATTTAAAAGCCATATAATCTGACTGAAGTTTAATAGAAAGGAAAATCAGCAGATGCCAATCTTGATAGAATGCATATAATAACCATCTGCCATGAGAGAAATGTGAACATTCATTAACTTAATGAAAAGCTCCACCTTCTCAGTAGAGAAACTAAAAATGTGAATCAAATGCAAAATTATAGTGTATAATATAAAATGAATACATGCTACTTAACAACAAATGGGTCAAGAAAGAAATCAAAAGATAAATTTAAAAATACCATGACACAAACAAAAATGAAAATACAAGATACCAACATGCATGAGATGAGGCAAAAGCAGTTCTCAGAAGGAAGTATTAGTGATACATACCTATATCAAGAAACAAGAAAAATCTTAAATAAATAACTCTACACCTCTAAAAACTAGAAAAAGAAAAAGAAATGAAGCCTAAGATTAGTAAAAGGAAAGAAATAACAAAAATTAGAGTAGAAATAAATAAAATAGAGAATAGAAAGACAATTTAAAAAAATCAAAGAAAGTAAGAGATAAAATTGACAAACATTTATCTAGATTCACTAAAAAGAAAGGAAAAGAAACACAAAACTCAAATAAATGATAGCAGAAATAAAACGATACGTTTATAACTGACAGCACAGAAAAATGAAGGATCTTAAGAGACCACTATGAACAATGAATTTGACAACCAAGGAGAAATGAATAAAATGCTAGAAAAACTGAATTATGAACTGAATCATAAATAAACAGAAAACAGAATCATAAAGTAACAGAAAACCTAAACAATTTGCTTACTAGTAAGGAGACTGAATTAGTAATTAAAAATATCTCAACAAACAATATTCTAGGACTAGACAGCTTCTCTGGTAAATCTTGCTGGCTCTTACCTAGTTCCTTTGTTCCTTTCTTCCTCTTGTGCGGTCTTCCTTTGTCACGTGATCACTTTTTGTAGTGTATGTTTTGATTCCTTCTTTTTTCCTCCTTATTTTATTTTCCCATTACCATTGCATCCTCCTATATTCTTTTCCCTCTCCCCCCACTGGCAGTCACCACACTATTGTCCATGTCCATGAGTTCTTTCTCTTTTTCTTCCTTTTCTGGTCAATCCCTCCACTCCCTCTACAACTACCTGCCCAGAGCTGTCTGTGTGCTCTGTATCTATGAATCTGTCTGTATTTTGCTTGTTAGTTTAGTTTGTCCATTAAATTCCACATATGAGTGAAATCATATGGTACTTATCTTTCTCTAATTGGCTTATTTTACTTAGCATAATATTCTCTTGGTCCATTCAAGCACTCACTAAAGGTAAAATTTTCTTCCTTTTTATGGCAGAGTAATATTCCGTTGTGTAAATATACCAGTTTTTTTTTAATCCACTTGTCTGTTGATGGATACTTCGGCTGCTTCAGAATCTTGGCTATTGTAAATAACACTAGAATGAACATAGGGGTGCATATATTGTTTTGAATTAGTGTTTTGAGTTTCTTCAGATAAATTCCCAGAAGTGGAATTGCTGCATCATAAGGCAATTCCATTTTTAATTTTTTGAAGTAACTCTATACTGCTTTTCACAGTGGCTGCACCGATCTGCATTCCCACTAACAATGTACAGAAAACATACAATGCGCTAAAGATAGTCTATTCAATGAATAGTGTTGGTAAAATTAGACAAGATGTGTGCAAAAAAATAAAAATAAACCACCTTCTTATACTGCACACAAGATTAAACTCAAAATGGATTAAAGACTTAAATGTTAAACTCAAAACCATAAAAATCCTAGAAGAAAACATAAGCAATAAAATTTTAGACATTTCTGATAGCAATAATTTTTTCTTATATATTTCCTCAGGTAAGAAAAATAAAAGAAAAAATAAACAGATGGAACTATGTCAACAACAACAAAAAAGACAACCCACTGAATAGGAGAACATATTCACTGATATATCTTATAAAGGGTTAATATCTAAAACGTATAAAGAACTTATAATCTCAACACCAGGAAAACAAACAATCTAATTGAAAAATGGGCATAGGATTTGAATAGACATTTTTCCAAAGAGGACATGCTAATTTCCTTCTTCTTTATTTTTTGTACATACTAGATAGTTTTTATTTGTGGTTACCATGAGCCTTCCAAAAACCATCTATTTTAACCTAGTAGCTTAATTTCAATTACATACAAAAAATCTACTTCTTACTTTATTTTTGATGTCACACTTCACATATTTTTATATTGTGCAATTATTAACAAATTCTCTTGTAACCTTTATCCCAGAGTTAAGTGATTTATACTGCACCTTTAGAGTAGTGCAGTATTCTGAATGTGTCTCTATACTTGTCCTTTCCAATGAGTTTTTTACTTTCATGTTACTAAAAACATGTGTTGTCCTTTCATATTGGCTTAAAAGACAGGTCTAGTGGTAATAAACTCCTTCAGCTTTAGTCTTTCTGTGAACATTGCCATAGCTTCTCTA